TGGACAGGACTCGCTGTCCGCGCCGCCGCGGCCGTTGTCCATTCGAGACAAACGGCCGCCTGCCCAACAGCGGCCGCTGCTGGTTTGGGGCAGCACCTGTTGTTGGGCATTGTGCCCATTCTTTCCGTTCCCATTTCGGGCGTCCAAAAGGACACCCTCGGGCAGTGAAACAATCGCGACGGCAGGTTTGGTGGCCATTTTCGGCATCCGGGCGGGGGCCCTCGCTGGGCCTCGGGGCCGACAAAAGACGACTCGGGGCCGTCAAGAAACGACTCCCTCGGGCAGTGACAAAAATCAAGACGGCAGGTTTTTGTACCATTTTCGGCATCCGGGGGCCCTCGCCGGGCCTCGGGGCCGTCAAACATTGGCTCGGGATGAGAAACCGGCCTCAGAGAATGGTAATGAGAAAGTCTCGATGGCTGTTTTTTTTTGCCGTTTTCGGCATTTGGGGGCCCTTGCCAGGCCTCGGGGCCGTCAAAACATCGGCTCGGGAGGAGAAGCCGGTCCCGGGGAATGTCGGGCCGGACGAAAGGGGGGGATTGCGAAAGGGGGGGTACGACATTTGCTGCATGCAGCTGGTTTCGGCCTCACCGAGGGGCCCATTCCTCGATACATCGCCGCCTCCGGCGCCGGGAGGCGCCAGGAAAATCAGCTACCTCCCCCCCCCCCCTTTGCTATCCCCCCCTTTCGCCTGGCCCGAGAATGGGCCGAGGCCTCTGGGGGTCGACGTTGTGGAAGGATCGTGGCGTCGGGGGTCTGCGGGAGAGGGCCGCCGCCCGGGCACAGCAGGGCCACGGGGGCCCTCAGGCAGCAGCCCAGACCCCCGACGCCGTGATTGTTGTCTGAGCGTCGACCCTCAGAGGTCTCTCGACCCCTTCCTCGGGGGCGGCAAAGAGGGGGGTGATGACTGGCTAGGGGGGGTGGATATCATGGCGTGGGCCATGATATTTCCCCAGATTTCGTGGCGCCCCTTCTTATTCCATACCTAGGCTCTGCCTAGAAGGGTTCTTACTCGGTAAGCTTAAAGGGCCGGGCAGTGGGACCCGCCCCGGGCGGTTCCCCCAGTGTCCGCCCCGCGGTTCCCCCAGTGACGTTCCCTTAGCTCCACGTTGCTTATCTCATCTAAGCTTAGCTTATTTCATCTTAGCTTAGCTTAGCTTCATCTTAGCTCAGGTTTATCATAGCTTAGCTTGCCTTCATCTTAGCTTCGCCGAGCTTTAGCATAGCATGCAGAGCACATCATAGCATAGCAGAGCGTAGCACAGCACAGCTCAGCACCGCATATCATAGCAAAGCCCAGCATAGCACAGCATAGCGCAGCATAGCATAGCATAGCATAACATAGCGCAGCACAGCACAGCACAGCATAGCATCGCGCAGCATAGATAGCATATCATAGCAGAGCATAGCGCAGCTTAGCATAGCATAGCATAGCTTAGCATAGCACAGCGTAGCATGACATAGCATAGCTTAGCATAGCATGGGTGTGATTCCCTACCTAGGCTCTACCTAGAGGGTTAGCTTAGCTTAGATTAGCTTATCATATCGCAGCGCTGCACTAGCACAGCATCGCATAGCATAACACAGCCAAGCATAGCATAGCATAGCATAGCAAAGCTTACCATAGCATATCATATCATAGCATATCATAGCATCGCATAACATAGCGCAGCTTAGCATAGTATAGCATAGCATAGCTTAGCATAGCACACCGCAGCATGACATAGCATAGCTGATCATATCATAGCATAGCACAGCATAACGCAGCACAGCATAGCATAGCATAGCATAGCATAGCATTGCGCAGCATAACATGGCATGGCATAGCATAGCATAGCATAGCAACTAATGCTGCTTTCCTAGGGGCTCCAACTTCTAGGTAGGGTCGCACTGGGGTAATTTCATTACGTCCCTGGCCCCCCCGCTGGGCCGCGCACATGCTGCCGGTCATGATTTGCCCCCCCCTCCCCCCCCCCTCTTGGACACCCCCCTCTTGGCCGCTCCCGACTTCCCCGGGACCGGCTTTTCCTCCCGAGTCGTTCTGTGGAGGGCCTCGAGGCTCGGTGAGGGCCTCCAGAGGCCGAGAACGCGGAAGGCTCAGCCACGCGCAGGGGGAGGTGGGGGGAGCGGGGGGGGGACTTCTTAGAGGTACCCCTGCTTCTTAGAAGGCGCTGGCCGAATCTATAGACGTAAGCTTCTAAGAAGCAGCCTCCTTCTGAGAAGCCTGCCTCCCCTCCCCCAGCCCCTTGTGCGCACCGCCAAAAGACCCTCCCGTCAGGATTTGTTCACTGCCCGAGGCCCGGGCCGGGGCCCCGAGCCCCGGCCCCTTCGGCGCATGGGAAAATCACGGCGGAGGGTTTTGGTCGCTATTTCTGTTCGGCCTGCCCGGCCTCGGAGCCGTCAGGAAAAAAGCGACCCGGGGTGGACCAAAATCCGGTCTTGGGGACTTTGCATGGGTCGAGACCGCGGGGGGTCGACCCTGCACATGGCCTCGTCCTTCGCCTCCTCCTGCTCCTGATCCTCCTTGTCCTCCTCCTTGTCCTCCTCCTTTCTCCTCCTTGTCCTCCTCCTTGTCCTCCTCCTCCTCCTCCGCCTTTTCCTCCGCCTCGTCGCCCTGACTGCCCAGGAGGGCTTGATCAGAAAACCAGAGGGGTCTTGAATCCTGGTCGAGCTTCTTCGAAACGAGGGACAAATCACGACGTCGTGGGTCCGGGAAGGATCCCCAGGGTCCCGCGGGCCACGCGCGCCTGCCAGCCCGCCAACGGGCCCCCCTCGTGGGCCCTCGGAAGGTGCGGGGGCAGCACCGCGTGTCGGAGAAGGAGCACGGACCGCCGCCACCGAGGACCCGTCGACGAGGCGCCGGCCCCTGGGCGGTGGCACGCCCGAGCGTCCACTTTTAAGTCGGGCGTGTCCCTTTCACAGGGGGACTTTTTCGACGAACGACAACACATGCTCAAACATATTCCCAAATGGTCAAAAATACTCAAAACATAGTCCCCAGACTATTTGTTGGACTATTTTTGGATTGCCCCCCTGTAGAGGTACAGGCCCGACTAAAGTCAACTTGGACATGGGGTGACGCTCGGGCGTGCCACCACCTGGCTCAGAGTAAGAGTAAAGTGGGACCCACGCCAAGAAACACCCTGCTTGCCTCCCGAGTGCCCTGTGCTTCTTGGGTCTCGATGGTTCTGCGACGGAAGGCGTGATGCTCCCGCACCAAAAGTCCATGAACGCCCTGGGGTCTCAGGGTTGGGCTTCTTGTGGGCGTTCCTCGTCCACGCAGGCGGGTTTGGGGTCAAAGAAGGGGCTTCGTTCCTTACTTGGCGTTCCTCAGGTCAACGCCCCGACTGTAGAGCTAAGGCGGGCCTGTCCGTCCACAGGGGGAATATGCAAACATTGACCACAAATAGTATGGGGATTATTTTTTTTCAGTGTTTTCGGACCATTTTGGAGCATTTTTGGAGTGCTCTGTATTTTTCGTCGACAATCCCCCTGTAGGGGGGACACGCCCGACTTACCTGTGGAGCAGAGGGCGGCGCGCGCCGACCTCACCCGACTGGCCCCGGGGGCCAGCGGCCGGCCGGCACCAGCAGAAAGCGGTCTCGAGGGCTCCCGAAGGCGCGCCGCGCGCGCGGGCCGTGCGCCTTCGCGCGCGCCCTGCGCGCCCGGGGAGCGGAGATGCTCAGGAGCGAAAGAAGGACGTGCACGTACATCTTGGCATCGCTCGGACGTGTGCATGTGTCCTTCGGCGAGGGCCATCGAGAAGCATCCTTGATCACTTGGCGAAACAGCCACGCACGAAACCGAACAAAACACAGGGAATGGGCGTCCGAGCGATGGCCAGACATGAGTCCACGCTGGTTTCGAGAGTTCGCATTGCGCGAATGCTCGTATCACGCAGCCGGTCTCGCGTGTCAAGGGACCGTGCTCATGCACGTAGCTGGGCGCGTACGTCCTTTGTGGGCTCCCTAGATGCACCCCACCTGCCCCCTCTCGGGCCGGACGAAAGGGGGGGATAAGGAAAGGGGGGGTTACGAAGTCTGCTGCGTGCAGCTGGTTTCGGCGCCACCGAGGGGCCCGTTCCTCGATGCATGGCCGCCCCCTTCGCCGGGAGGCGCCGGGAAAATCAGCTACGTGAGCTGATTCTCCCCCCCCCTTTGCTATCCCCCCCCCTTTCGCCCGGCCCGACCCTCCCACACAGCCCCGTAAGTCGGGCATGTCCTTCTACGAGGGGATCTTCCAGAATGGTAGACAAACATTGTCTGGGGACGATCTTGCTAGTACTTTCGACTGTTTTGGGGGTATGTTTAAGTTTCTTTGTAACTTCTCTTCCAAATATTCCGCCTGTAGGAGGACCTGCCCGACCTAACACGCCCCCCTGGCAGACGTGTGGATCTCGCTTGCGTCCCGGACTGCCTCCGGCAGACTGGCCGCGGTCGCCTTGCCCACCCCGTTCCGCAGGGCGGCGGGGGGTGGGGGAAAGCTGACTGTGCTCCCGGATGCTCCGCGCGCACCGCTCCGCGGTGGGGGGCTTTCTTTTCACTATTCTCCTCCCTGCTCCTCTCTTCTCTGCTCGACTCCTCCCTGACATTTTCTGCTCTTCTCTTCTCTCGCATGTTCTTTTCTCATCCTCTCTTCCCTTACAGCCTCCCTCCCTCCCTCCCATCCTCCCTCTCTCTCTCTCTCCTCCTCCTCGGACTTCGCGCCGCTCGCCCCTCCCTGCCCCCTTTCTCGCCTACTCGCTTCTCATCCCCCCCGCAGGCCCCCGCCGTGACTTCCTCATAACGTCGACCCAGAGAGGTCTCGACCCATCCCCCGGGACTGGTTTCTCCTCCCGAGTCGCTCTTTGACGGGCCCGAGGCCCGGTAGGGGCCTCCAGAGGCCGAGCATATGGAGAAACGCCCGTTCTGCTTTCTCCTTGCCCGACATGGGCTCTTGGTCTGCAGCCACCTTTGGCCCCAGCCTCCCTCGAGAGCTCTCTCCCTCGCGCCGGGCCCGCCATGGGCGGCAGCGTGCGTGCTGCGGAGGGCGCGCCCGCGCGCCCTGGCGGCGCCGCAGCGGCCGCCCTCCCCGACGCCGGCGCGGGCGCGGCGCGCGCGGAGGGCCCGCAGCCGCCGCCGGCAAGCGCGGCGGCGCGGCGGTTCAGGGTGGAGGTGGCGGGGCGCGATCGCCATGGGTCTCCTCCTCCTCCTCCTCCTCCTCCTCCTGCTCCTCCTCCTCCTCCTCCTCCGTAGCCATTTTGGCTCAAGCCATTTTGGCTCAAGCTTACTTGGTTCCGAGCTTGGCAAGGAGTGCCTGCGCGCGGGCCCGCCTCCCGCTGAACCCTCTGCATCCGGCGGCGCCCATGTCGGGCCGCTACCTCGGGTGCAGCAACTGTGGTCCAGGCAGCTGGATCTATGAAACCAGCCCCCGCAAGACGTGCCGCGATTGCGGATTCTATATCCCTGGGCGGGATGGGAGTGGACAGGGGAAAAAAGGAGGAAAAGGAGGATCTGAGTCTGGGCGGCGTCGGGGCAAAGGCCAGGATAGGCACGATCAGGATGACAGGCGCCCTCCTGCTGACCAGCAGGATGAGAAGGCCGTCGCGGAGGATGCCGAGGACATGCGTCTCCTCGACAGCCTTATTGCGGCCCGCCAGGACTACCCCACCTCCCTCGAGAGCTTGGTCAAGAAGAAGGTCCCCGTGGAGGAGGAAGTCCGCCGCATCAGGCATGACCTGTCCGCCAATCGCGAAAAGCGGAACAACCTCCTCACGCTACCCCAACAGCATGAGCGACTATGCAAACGTGTTGAATGGACTACGGCAAAGATCAACAAAGTGGATTCTGCTTTGGATGATGTGCATGATCCGATTTCCGTTCTGGAGTCTAAGAGGCTGCACCTGTTTGAGCGCAAACACATGTTGGAACAGCTGTTGGAGGATTGGGAGAAGCAGAAAAATGAGGTGGAGGGTAGGCTGTCCCCCCCCCCACCGGCAGCTCCCGAACCCTCTCCTCTGGCCACTGTGCTCGGCCTCGGCCCCGAGGCCACGGGGGTTCCCGCCGTTGCTTCGGCGCTTGAGGCCCTCCAGACCGCCTTGGTTACCCTCCACGCTCGCGGGCTTGCGCCTGCCCCGCCTGGTCGCAGGGCCCCTGGAGGCCCCAATGCTGCCGCCGCTGCTGAGGGCCACACTGGCCCTGGAGCACGCGGGAAGGACCATGCCACTGGCCGCCAGATTGAGTCCCCGGGGTCTGCGAGTGGAGCTGCGTCGGGGGTGGGGTCCCAGCCAGGCCCTCAGCGACTCCGCAAGAGGGATGATAGCACGCACGGGGTCGACGTTGTTGTCGATTCTGACGATAGCTTCAACGATGATTTCGCTGATGGTTTGTGTGTTATGCCTTCGAAGCTGCAGCGAAGTTGCAGCGTACCAAACACGGATGGGCTGATAGCCTCGATGGTGATGGTGATTACGATTGGCGCTATGACTATGGCTTGGAAGGGGCTTTTCACAACCCGCCCGAGACTCCTCAAGACCCAGCCTGTGGGTAGCAAACAGTACCTCCTTACCAGTTGTGCCACCAAGAAGGCCAGAAGATCTCGCAGGAGTCGGGGGGCTCGAACGTGGACAATATGTAAGGTGAATGTCACTTCCTGGGCAGCCGCTGCAAAGTTTCTTGCGTCTCGACCCCCGTTCGACGGAATCAGTTTTCAGGAGATGCATCGTTCCGATGAGTATGTTCCTAACCTCGTGGCCGCTGCTAATACGCTCGGCTCTCATGCACTCGTGAACGCCTCTGTGATTACAGAGGCCGGTGCTGCTATCACGTCTCCATGGGCCACAGGTCTTCAGCGGATAGATCTACATCATCTCCCTGCGCGCCGCCTGAAATCTTGTTTGTTTCTCAGTAGTTTGGCACATGCCCTGGGGGTTTTCCGTGGATCACGCTGTACTTGCATTCTGGCGAGGGTGCGTCTGAACGCAATGTGCACATATTGATGCAAGTCGCTGCTATCATCCAGACCATTGGCAGGCCGTATATAATATCAGGAGATTGGAATATGAGTCCGACGCAGTTGGATGATCTGAATTGGTCGCCTCTCGTGCGCGGGGTATTGGCTGTTCCGCCTGGTAACACTCACCACTCTGGGGATGCATCTTCTTTGTTGGTTATAGTGTTCTTCACGAAGTGTTTGCAGTAGAATTTACGGTTTCACTGTACCCCGCCCTCCTGGTCACCAAGCACACTCCATTTAGGCAGGCGTTCAAGACGACCCCCTTGCAGAAACATGTGCTATGCGTCGTGCGCCCTGGACGCTTACCCGTGGATCAGCCGATTGGATGTGCCCCGCGCCCCCCTCCCTGGGAAGAGCTCCAGGACCGCCTTGAGGGCCATCCAGTAGCAGACGTGATGAATGATGTCATGCTTGGTTTTCTACGTTTCTCTGCCCGTGAGCTTTCTGGCGCATTGCAGCAAGTGGTCGATGAAAGCAAGTGGGGGCGGCTATTCCGTGCGCGATGGATCCCGGCATCGAAGATGTGTTCAAGTTCCCCGCGCTGCTGCTTTGAGGGCCATTTGTGGCGATACTTGTCGCAAAGGTTATTGCAAGTCGTTTCGCTTCGCAGTCGGGGCCGACTCCGAGATGCACTTGATGTCTCGCGTCGTCTGCAACGGTATTGGCTGAATCCTCGCGAGGGCCGCCCCCCGTCGCTGTGGCCATGGTGGCGCCGAATCGTCAAGTCGCATGACAGCGCCGGATTCCTGGTTCCAGGAATTTGCGGCGCAGTTGGACGTCATCGCCACGTAATTTGAGTTGAGTGCTGCAAAGTCCCGGTTCGATTCCTGGTCCACGTGGGCGGTGAATGCTGTCAGCGTGCCAGGTTCCTCGCTAGCGCATGCATGCGTACGGGGCCCTGTCACGTGGACACATTTCCAGGTGGATCCCAGCCAGGACATGAAACATCCGCAGGGCAGTCCACAACATCATGTAGAGTGCCGGGAGAACTATTGGCATAATATCTGGGGGGGTCTGTTCAGAGTATGTTCGTCCTGCTTGGCCCCCTTCTGGATATGCGTTTCTTAGAGTCTTTGCGTTTCTCTGCGCCTTCTGAGCTTCGTCGCATGGCTTTGAAATACATGCAGAGCACGTCTGTCGGTGTAGACCACCTGCGCCCGCGGCGCTAGGGGTTTCTCTCTGACGAGGCGCTCCAATGTTTGATCACGCTTTGGAGGTGGATGTTGACTTTGGGGAGCCCCCCAGAAGTGGTATCTACCATTATCGTCAGCCTTCTCCCTAAACCTGAGGGCGGGGATTGCCCTGATCGGCCAGTTGCCAATTTTGCCACGTGCATTCGGCTTCTTACGCGGTGGTTCCGTTCAACTGATGGAACGCGGTGGTCCGACTCTAACCGCAGGCCGTGCGTTTATGGCATTGCGGGCGTCTCGAGCTTGCACGGCGTCTGGAAACATTCCCTTCTAGCTGAATATGCTGCCGCGAAGGGCATTGAAGCATATGCAACATTACTTGACATTGCCAGGGCATTTGAACATGTTATCCACCACATTCTGGTTCGACGTGCCCTGGATCTTGAATTCAATGTGTTTCTGTCAAGTTCCTGCTTGCTTTGCACCGCGGTCCGCGTGTCGTCGTTGTGGGGTCCGTTCCGGGAGAGCTCGTTCACGCTGCGCAAACTATCGTGGCTGGTTGTGCATTCGCAGATCTTCTGATGCGATGCGTGCTCATTGAAGATTTGGATCATGTTGTTGAACTGTATCACTGCGTGAATTCGGGTCTAGTGGCTGATGATGTCCAGGCCCTGGGTATATGGGGCAGAGGCTTTGCCGCGAAACCGCCCCCCCTTGTAGCAAACGCGCTGCTAGGCCGGCTACGAGACCATGCCCACCTCCACCTGTCCATCCCGAAGCTTGTTTTCATGGCCTCGGATGATGGGGTGGGGGATGCGTTAGCTTCCGTCCCTCAGTTAGCGCGGGCTCGCCGACGTGAAACTCGAAATCTCGGGGTGGACTTCGCTGTGAGAGCAGGCCGCTGCTTCGAGAGAAGCGCCATAAAGACTAGACTTAAGAAGGTCCGTGCTCGCGCGGGTCGGCTTCGCAATTTGACCCGAGGGATGGGGGGGGGGGCAAATCGTCCCCCCCCCCCGTTTTCTTGGCCGACTCGTGAATTCTGGTCTGAGCCCTGCTGCCCTCTATGGAACTTCCATCACTGGCCTCAGTGACGCTCAGTTCCGGGACGTCCGGGCCATTTTTCACACCGCCTTAGGTTCTCGGTTCTGCAGGTCTGTTACTATGGACATGGCCCTCGCGCACAGAGTGCGCGACCCCGTGGTCACCGTTCACCGCGACACCATCCTCATGTGGCTGTCTTGTCGTTGGGATTCGATTGTACCGCGTGCCATTATGGATCGCACAATGCAGCACGCTATTGACACAGTTTCTCGGAGTACTGCATGGAGTTCATTGGCTGGTCCTGCGGCAGTGGTGGTTGCATCGTTGCTCCGAGTCGGCTGGTCGTGCACGTCCCCGACTGAGTGGGTACCTCCCACTGGCGACCGCCTTATAGTCACGGATTCTGCTCCCCGTGATGTTGCGCGCTTGGTTTCGCATTCTGCGTTGTAGTGGTCTTGGTCTCAGGCCTCTCAACGACGCGTGCACATGTCTCATCTTGATCGCCCTCCCTTCCTCAGCCCCATCGTTCGTCTTCTTGCCGAGGGCGGCGTCGAGGATTTCGGCGCGCGGCAGAAGGCGGCGCTTCAAACTTTGCTGGCGGGAGCTTTGTTTCACCAAGGGCCATGCGCCCTTTGTTCTGCTTCTTGCCCTTCTCTCTGGAAGCACTTATGTTTTGAGTGTGATGGGGCGTCGCCTTTTCGAGCAGGTCTCCCGCGTCGTGCGGAGCTTATGATGGCTTATTCTCAGAATCCTGGCAATCCTCTTTGGGGGGCGGGCCCATGCCTGACCCTGCGCACCTCCTTCCCCTCTCCCCTCCATGAGCTCCCCCATGAATGGGTCCTTCTAGGCCTCCGCGAGCGCGTCTTCACCTCTCCAGTTTTCGGGGGCGGATCTGGATTTGATGCTGGCTCCCATTTTACTGCCAGGTGTGGTTGGGGAGTCGTCTGCCTGGACGCCTGGGACCGCGTTCAAGTCGGAACGTGTGGTTC